GAGATTATTGTTATTACTATTGTTATTGAGTTCGACATTTTCCCCAGGGTGGTGAACCTGCTGCGCTGGGGATGCATTAGGCACGCTTGCAATGAACTGGTGCTCGACACAGCTTGGAACCCCTTCACTTTCTCTCTGGATGTGAAACACGTGGGGACTTGCTGGTGCTGGAGTTGGCCCCCCATGAGAGTCACTACCATCAGTGGGAACTTGCTGGACGTTTAGATCAAGTGGTTCAAAGTTCTCATTGGCTTTCTCTTTCAAGGGAACTCGCTCGGCGGGAGATGACTTGGTACCCATCACCCCTTTGAATCCGTTTCTATGCTCTTTTAGTTCAGCTGCTTAAGAAGACAGGGAGAAAGGGCAGCGATAAGTCAGAGAGATGACATAGTTGATTGACGACAAAAGAACTAGAGAGTAAGGGCATGTTTGGATCACGGAAAATTTTCTTTCTATTTCCAGGCTTCAAACAGACACTAGTTATAGAAATAAACATGAAATGTATAGGTGTAGCTGTGTTAAATCCCAAAAGTACAGACCTTGAAGACTTTCATTGGATGTGATGAGGTCGACATCTAGGAGATCAAGAAGACGTCCCAAGTCCACTCCACTAGTCCAATTTTCAGGAGGTTGGCCGGCTTTCAGTTTCAAACGACCTCGATTAGCCGTTCCACCCCATATGATTCCAACAGGTCGAGGCTTCTCTCCGTTTTGACCAGTCAAAAGGATGAGGCTACCACTATCACCTTCAAGATCAAATGTCTGTTGGTTTTCACCAACAACAAGAAAGTCAGTAAAGAAACATACTCCTTTCACATCATTATATTCCAATGCATAGGCCATTATAGTCCCGGTGGTCAAGCCAGAGCTTCTTCCAACTTTCATCACTTGCCTGCCAACAAGGCTTCCGATTGGAGCTTGCAGGTCAATAGTATTCACATCACCAATGTCACCTATGCCTTTCATGGCAGTAGTCACATTTGACAAGTCAAAATCGTCTGCAAAAGGAACGAAAGCTCCATCTGCCCGCACAAATGTTTCTGAAAGAATAAGGTTTTGGAACATATGCATAAGAGAGCATTAGAACCCATTTGTACGAGGATGGACATTGCATCCATGCCTGAAAAAATATGCGCTGAATTACATTTAAGAATTTTTTTCTCTAATCTATCTTATACAACTTCCTAAGGATTAAAACAACAATTTACTTCCTACAGAGCACTTGCACATCTCTGTAGACTATGTGTAGGAACAGTAAATCTGTAAATGAGGTATTGAGGTGCATCCACAAATCAACCAATTCTGCAAAGAGTTGAAGCCAATGGGGTTGTCATTGAGTCAAAAGCACATCCTCCATAAAGATTCTAAAGCAACTTTTTGGGCATCAATCAGCATGTTTAAAATCATGTTTGTTGCCCTTCTTCAGAGACCAAAGCAGGAAATAAGTGTTATTTTCTCCAAATGAAAAAATGGAGAACATTTCCGCCCTTACCTCTTGGGGGCATGTAGGGGAAGTATGTTAGTTCAGAGAATGGAAAGTAAAATAAAATTGGTAAATGCAGCAAAATTTTAACTCTCTAATATTTGGGAAGAAAGATGAGGAAGAAACAATATTAATATTTGGCAGGAAGATGGGAAAGAAACAATATCATTCTGAACTCTCTAATATTTGGGAGGGTGTGATGCCCAAATTTCACAAAATGAGGTCACCAACTTTACCATGGTTGCAATAGTGGCTTATCAGATTTAGGTGAACGAAAAATAACGGAGCAAGAAAATAATGCAAGTTACCAAATTGTTTTGTAAGCATATTCCTGGTATTAATGCATTATAGAGTCCAAAATTTCAGTCGAAGTGGAAAGCCTTTAGGTTAAATATGCAAGAATGATTTGCTCCACAAAACCAAGAGAGATTACTATCCTCTAAGAAAAATAAAACTAACCTACACAATTACTTTACCTGGGTTGGTTCCAGCAAACATGCCATACCAAAGATCATCAGTTATAAATGACGTCGCTCTCTCTACCGCACCCAAATACACTCCTGGTCCAAGGCTTGGAGGCAAGGGATGGAACATTTTCTGACTTGGATAATCCAAATCAACTGCTACATGCCGATTAGTGAGAAAACCAACCGGCTGGTTCCCAGTCCGGCTTTTAACAATAGCACCCAAAGTTCCATAAGTCTCTTGACTTGCCACCTAAAAGAACATAATCATATTAGCCAATCTAAGAGTTGGTGGCACTAAAATTAACATGTTACGGTATACATGAAATAGAGCTCCTTATAGCACTTAGCAATTCAGGTTAGGGCATATTCACTAGTAGTGCATCTTTCTCCACTCTCTTGTATCTGTTTTATTTTTTGTCTACTATTAGCAGTTGAAATTTTCTAATCTGCATCTCTGTTTTTTGTGACCCAGGGTTGAGAATAGCCTGTTTATCTTCCATAGGTAGGGGTCAGGTCTGTGTACAACAATTCTCCTGAACCCGACTTGTTGGATTAACTGGGTAGGTTGTTGGTTGTAATTGTAATAAATATTACTTTGAGAAAATAGAAAATATTTTCTGATGAAAAAGTGTTGCTCCAGATTTTCTAAACAAAAAAAAAAGCTCCATTTTCATTTCCCAACTATAAAAAGAGTGATTTCAATAGCACAGTCACCGCTCCAACCTCCCACACAATCTGGTGTGAAGAAAACCATTAAAACTTTAACAAATGTGTCTATTGAATCACAAGTAATTAAAGGTTTACATCTAGAAGTACATTTTATTTTTTCAATGGGAAATATTTTCCTCAACCACATAGACCCTTAACATTTCAAAGAACATGCATGTGCGACTATTTTCCTTTTACACATTCTAATAGGAAGGCATATGATCAGTTTTTCCTCCACCCTCCTACTTCTATAGTAGAGTAACCACAACACACATCTCTTTCCTAATTGGTGGTAAGGACATTATTCTGGGTTTCGCCACCACATTGGTGATTGGCGACTAAAGAACTAGAAAGGGTAGTTCATAAAGTGTAAGCTTTTTAGCTAATTCTAGGAAGAGACATAATAATAATAACAACAATAACAGAACCCCTTTCTGCTTTACAATCTTAGATGGTTGTCCCTAGGGGGTGCGTATCATCAAGGTTCGCCTGCTACTAATGCAAGAGTATTGGCTACCCTAATAGCATACTCGATAAAAAGAATGTTACAACACAGAGAAAAAAATCATTGACAAATGAAAACAATAGAGTAGCAATTACCTGAGACCCAGATCCAATGCAAGGATCACCACCCCGGAGCCCTTCCACAAGTTCATTATACAGTTCTTCATTTGGGGTGGCTGCAGGTGCACCGTAATAAGAGAACTCAACAACATCAACATCACACCATACACCTCCTGGTCCCTGTTTGATCAAGTATTTAATATACTTAACACCCATGGCATTCACAGAAGACTAGAAATTGGATGAGTTCCAATTTTTCCAAAACATATCACGATCAAGTTTAAATTTATAATTATATCCCTAGGCCAGCCCCTCAGTACAGAAACAGAATCTCCAAACAAGAAAAGGCATCGATATAATGTTTCAAATCCAAATTGAAGACAAGCATTTACTTGAAGTCACAGGGTATTATTTACAGCAAGAAAAAAAGTGTTTGTTCTATCTCCAAACCTCAAGATATGCTGGGAGACATTCCACGCAGCTGAGACACTGCCTGTTGACTTTTCTGGCAACGAAAACAAGGATAGCAGGTATCTCCGTCAAAACACCACGCCTGATGCGAAATCCAATGGCGGTTCCAAGACTAAACCGGCGAAGGATTTTGCTATGGAATGCTCTAATGGTCATGAGATCAAGCAACGTCGCGGCCTGCTCTCCGCGCGGAAGCCGCCCATGGGTTTCAGGCAAAACCCTCTTCTGAAGATTCTTAAAGTAATTGGCCCTCTCAACAGCACCCAATTGGCTCGGCCATGAGAAGTAAGCTGCGCTGCTCTCGGAGATCTGATTGCTTGCAGTGGTTTGCAATGGCGGAGGGCTCGTTGAATGCAGATTAAGAGGATCACAGCCATTTCTTTCCAAATCCAGTGCGGATTCCTCTGATTGTGCGGATCCAGATTGTTTCAACCTCAAATCCAGCCTTGCCGTGTCCATCTTTCAGCTCCCCGCCTGCATAAATTTTTCTGGAATTCAGCAGCTAGCTACCATCACATTGCAACTGCAATCCTTCCATTACAAAAACGCTAGCAAAAGATTCCAGTCAGTGAAGAGAACAAAACAGAGAATATACCGCGGAGAAAAGAATAAATAACAAAGAAGATAAAAGGTAGTGTGGGGAGCAGTGGGATTTTTGGTTAATCAAAATGTCCATTGGACAATATTTTGAATTGAAATAGGAATTGGAAACATCAATAAACCCAAAATAGATTTAAATAAAAAAAATGGTCCTTCAAAATTTATGATGTGTAAACTAGTTTATTGGTACTTGATATCTATTTAAGTGAAACTAAAGGGGAAAGACTACACTTCCAATTCTAGTGTCTTGTTCAGTAATGATAATTTTTTCACCACGTAGTTGCAGCGTTTTGTAAAAATATAATTTATGAATTATAAATTTAAGAAATTTTACAAGTGAATAAGAAAAAACAAAAAATTAATTCTTAAATTTATTAAATATACAATTCATTGATCCTATAAATTATTATCATGAAAGTGGACTATTCATTAGAAATTTCACTTCTATTGTAGTAATTTCTATGAAGCCTAGTTCGATAATGAATGTCACTTTCATCGTCTACGCATGTCTAACAACGAATTCCACTAGCAAACGTGTCTCAAGTCACTCAACACACAATTGCATACTATACGATAGTTGATCAATGTATTTCTGTTCGAATCGAATTAACTCTTGCTGCACCGCAACAATTGAAAGTGACATAAATATAATACTTGTGTCAGCAATGCAAACCTGATAGAGAACATAGTTCTCTGCCAGTGTGACAACAAGTACAAAGTATAAAATTACTCTCATACGTGATTTCCTTTTTACTCTAGGAACTCTATATCATTTTTGCATAAACGCCCGTCAACAAAATAATACAACCAATAGATGCATTTGCACCATTAATAATACCCGTCCCACTCTCCTCCTTAAGAGCCACCAACCACAAAAAAATGATTGCTCATCTCATCGTTCTACATCACTAATCAAAATAAAATCTCCCACGAATTCTTATTTCACAAAATCCATTGTTATATTCATCTATTCATTTTTGGGTAATTGGTGGTCTTTGTTATTGCAGTTTTACATCTACTGTTCTAAATAATTTTTCTCTTCGCTCTACAAAATAATTCTTTCGTTACTCTTCCAATCAACGTGGTTCTTATTGTCTTAACATCTCTGCTCATAGAGTCATGATCTCTGATCATGTTGTTTTCGACAAACATGCCCTTTCCTTCCGTTTCTCGCTTTATTTGTGATTTTTTTAAAATATGATTGATGACGACGAGTTCTGACTTTGTTTTTCCTTCAAACCTCGCCCTTAGCATGTCACATTACTGCCCACTATCCACCCACGTTCACCCCCCCCCCNTGACCGTGTTTTTGCTACCCAACCTTGCCACCCCCACCGGGTCCCCAACCCTCCATTCCCTTTCCCATTGTATGCATTCTCAATCCCGCTTTTGCATTTTCAAGTCATGACAAATACTTATTCTATTTGCTACCATTCATATAACTCCCAACCCTCGCACCCAGTGGCAGACCTATGATGTCTAGGAGTGGATTCACCAATCGTACTTGATATACACATTATTTCTAATAAATTGTTACTTCTTACTCTGTAGTTTAATAAAAATGACAAGTCTACAAGAAAAATATTACATCAAAGTAAATAACAACTCGATAAGGTATTATTTCTAAATATTTTTTCAAACATTTAGCATGTATAAACATGTTAAATACTACGTATAAATAGTAAAAATAATGTTCAAATTGGACCCCCTAGGTCAACCCATGCACACACCTACTTTAGTGTTCTCATAGATGGTCATTGGCATTTGGCATAATGGGATGAGAGATGAACATATTACTTTGACTATGAGTAATGTTCTATCAATACTTGTTTCAGACCATGAAAAGAAATTTGGCATAATGGGGACTATTTCTAGACTCTAACAAAAAAAGAAAAGAAAAATCTTCCTCAAAAGTCAAAACGTATTACACCATGAAGAAATTAAATGAAGGATGGATGAATGGGGTTTTTTTTTTTTACAAGGATCAACAAAATAAGAAATTAAACCTTTCATTGCAATTTGCCAGGAAACAACTTTGGTTACAACAATATATAACAACAACAAAGCCGCGTCTCGAATATGTTGGAAATCAAGTGATTTTGAAGCAAACGTGGAAATCTTTTATTGCGAATAGATAAGAAAACGCCGAAGACGTGGGAAGAAGAGAGGAATGCACATGTTTTTAGTTCGATTTAGTATTACCCAACTGTCTCTCTATCATGGGGAGAAGCATAGTCAATATTCGGTCCTCGCGGGATGATCCCAAATGGATTGATGGAGGGGTGACTCCCATAGTAATGCTTCTTGATGTGTTCCATGTTTACTGTACTGCTCATGCCCGGGATTTGGAAGACGTCTTTCGTGTAATTGAAGAGATTCGGGTATTCGCGCAGCAACTTCCTATTGCACTTGAAGTGAACCGCGTAGACCTGTGGTAATAAACGATTGAGTAAATTCCATAAATGGTCCCTTAGAGCATGTAGTTTTTTTTTTAATTTAGTCCCTAATTCTAAGACATTATATCCATGATCCTCAATTTTTGAAAACTATTCCATAATTAGTCCTTTATGCCAAATATGGCCAAATATTTTTTCCACATAGTCCCTAAAAACCGGTTTGGAATAGTTTTCAAAAATTGAAGACGAAGAATGTAATGCTACAAAAAATCATATGTTATAAAAGACTATTTATAGAATTTACTCTAAAAAAATTTGGGAGTGTATGGCTTATTTTATGCACTTAACAAGCCATTCGTTCTGTTTGGTGACATTTGCATCTGAACAAAATTTCCCATGTTTCTGAAGCCCGCTTCAGAGAGCAAAAGGGCATAATGGGTACCTCGTCAAACCGAATGAGGGTGACAAACAAGCGGATATCAGCTTCTGTCACTTGATTTCCACACAGATATCGTTGATGGCTGAGAATGCCCTCACACTTATCTAAAGCTTCATACAGCTTTTCCACTGCCTGTATGAAGATAAGAAAAAAAAATTCAGCAAAAACCATTGGATAACATTTAAACACTACAACTTTGTTTGGAACGTACCCAATCAAAGAATTGGTTTAATTCTCATCATTCCAAACGCGATTATATCTAATTCCCACGGATTAAGTGATTATTCGCAGTAGATTCACTCTAAATGAGGCCTGAAACACGAAATTTTAAGCCAAGTGTATGTTTGTTTATTCTATTCACACTCATCCATGTTTGGTTTCTCCACGAATTGGGTTGGCATGTATGAGCACAGGCGAAAACAAAAAGGACTTAGAGACTTACCTTTGGAGAACTAGGATTAGAGTAGCTGGTTAGGAACTCGGTGCTATAGAGGTTTTTTGTAGTGTGTTGTGTTTGATTGGAATCTTCTATTAATGCTTGTAGAACTTTCTTTTCATTGTACTTGGTGTTTTATCCATGCTATACTGTATACCCTATCATTTTTTGTGCAGGTTGAGCCGGGGGAAACAGCCTCCCTTTCCAAGTAGGGGCAAGGTCTGCGTACACACACCCTCCCCAGACCCTACTGTAGTGGGATCCAACTGGGTTGTTGTTGTTGTTGTTGTAGACTTACCTCATCATAAGGCTCTTGCTTCCTAGCGAATCCACATTTGTACACTCCATTGTTTATCCCATTATATATCCACTCATTCACGTTGTTGATTTGGGACTGCAAATGCGGAGGGTACAAATCGAGTGCTACATTTTCGGCAATGTCATTGAACTCGGTATTAAGCATGCGGATTGTCTCCGAGCTCTCATTATTCACAATGGTTTTCAGTTTTTTATCCCAAAGAACCTATCAACAAACATGAATTTGTTTTAAAAGAACATGTTAGTAAATAGAGGAACCAAACACGTTGGTTGAGTCGGGTTTAGTACTTTCGAATTCGGGTTGTCTCGAGTTCGGGTCTGAGGATGCTTGTTCATGATGGAATTTTTGGGTTCACAACGACCCAATGGGTTGGAGAGCGTTCATTTTTTAATGTATATTTATACGTTAAAAAAACAAACCTTTTAACAACTCTGCACATAAAATTATTAGATTATATACTCAAGTTTTACTAGACAAAAAAAACAAACCTTTTAAAAACTTTGTATATAAAATTATTGAGAAACTAAAACGAGACAATCAAATATCATTAAAAAGAAAATATATGCATTATAATGGAGTAAGAAAAAAAACTAAGATTTGTATTGATAGAAGGTGGAGTAAAATAACACAAAATGGAATGCCTATATCAGCTCACTTATACTCTGCATTTCATATTAAAGTGCATCCATTGGCTAGGGGAAAATCTGAAAATTCCCACCTCAACGGGTTGGCCGACTCTGCATTGATCCATTTCTAACAACCATAGCAAGCCGTTTTGGGTTTGGGATACAAAATAATTGTTCAAAACTCAACATTTTTTGGGTTGAGTCTCGGGTCAAAACGAGTCGGATTAATTTTGAATCTCTACTAGTAAACAATTGGCCTCCCCAGACCCTACTTTCGTGGGATCCAATTGGGTTGTTGTTTTTGTTGTACTAGTAAGCAATTGAAGATATAAAAGATGAGGGTGAGTGTAAAATGCAATGCACGTACGGGGACCGTGTACTTCCCAACATAATTAGAACTTGCAAGCTCATATAGTTCTCTTATGCTCTTAGCACCATTTAAAGGATCAGGCTCAGCCCCGGGCTCTTCAGTGCTCGAAGAGGGAAAAATCCAACCCATGTGCTCATCACTGTCCTTCGTCCTCCCCCATATGGGTTTAACAGACTAATATATAATGCCCCCACAAAATCAAAACAAAAGAGTTCTTACTTCTCAAGTGTCAGCTTTTGAGAGTCAAAATGGATTTAGAGCTTAATTACAACGCCACTTACAGTAAAAGAAATAGCCTTGTCAAGGCCTTTGATGTTCAAGAAGGCAAGACACCGTGATGCCCAAGGGCACGCATATGACACGTAGAGATGATACCTACCAGCTTCTGCTGGGAAAGTGGAATTCGGGTCCCGCGAAATCGAATCACGGAAACTGGACGAAGTTCTCTCAAAAGCACCCGAAGCTGACAACTCATCCAACGCAGATCGTGCCATTTGAAGAGTGTGCTACAAAATAGAGGCAGTATCAGCCATTTCTTCTTATCTTATGATCTATGAACATCTTATGTTCTAAGCACAACATTGTCTTGATATATATTAAGACTTGAGGAATTTGGTTTTTTCTCCTCTTAGTACATATTGCCTACTCATATCTTCTTTCCTTCCACTTTTCTTTTCCTCTCTAACTAAACAAGAAAAACTATTTTCCATCTCATTTTCTTTTCTTTTCCCTTTCAAATTCCTTAAACCAAACATAGAACTACAGACTAGTGAGCATTTAAGTTTTCTTGAGTACACAAAAACTCTACACATATTAAGCACTCGTTTGTGTTCATTGTTCACTAAGCACGCAACTTCATTCAGGGAGCAATTCATTTCTCACTAGTAAGCTACGTTGCACGGATTCTTTAAATACGTCTCGCTTCCTGTCCCAGAAACATCTCCTGTCGGGTACTCGGGGGCGTCCCTACACCCAAATCCCTTCTAAATCATGAAAAAAATTTGTCCTTTCACGCTTCCGACCCGTCCCCGTATAAGTCCATGTCCTTAGCTCAGTGCAACTTAGCTAGTAAGCATATGAGTTTCAATGAGGAATGATTGTACAACATTCATGTACCTACGGTTGTACGATAGAACAACTCTATAAAAGTTGATCATCTTACAAAAACCTCTTTGCATTTTTGACTGAAGTTATTTTCAATTCAACTTGTTCAAAAATTGGTTGGATCATATGAATAGCTAAGTATAACCTTATTCCAAGACAAAGGGGGTATCGATGGGAGATGAAAGAATTTCCAATATATACATGACTTGGTATCTAAATCTTGGATTTCAATCTATAAATGAACAAAGTCAACAAAAAGCTCAAGCTCACAAGATTATGTCTTTAACATAATAAACTTTTTTTCTTCCCAAAAGCTAAAAAAAATCAAGAATTCCAAGAAAAATACACCAGAAATCAAGAATCAACAAACAATTCCCATACCCAAAAAAAAGTTACCTTGAAGTGGAGTTGAAGAAGAATAAATGGGTGGATAACTTTGCTCCGAGACAGGGTGTGTATGAGCTTGCTAGGTCTTGCAATACCAGAAATCATCAATATAATATGTAATCTGTGTATAAAATTGAATTAAAGTGTGCATTTAGCCTTTGACTAAAAATACTCGTATTTTATTTTCCTTATCAAGAGATAAGACTCATAAGAGATAATGGGAGATTGGGTTGTTTACTTTTCGCCCGGAACAAAGAAAATGAACTGTACACCCTTCTTATTTATGGAGAATGATCTTATTGCCTTCTCTATTTTGATTATAAGCACACAAAAAAAATTCAAGTTTTTTCAATTTATTTTGCTTATAGATTGATACATAGGTAAAAAATAAAATATATATATTTATTCAGAAATCATATCAAAAGTTTTACAAAACAAGAAGAGACAAGAATATTTTATTTTATCAAATAATCAATAAAAATACAAAAGTAAAGAAAAGTTATCGTGATTTTAGAATAATAAACATTGTAATCAACTGTGAGACGGAGGAATTATGTAATTTAATCTAGTCTAATCTGACCTAATTGTAGAGATATTAAAAAATGTTTTTTATTCAACCTGATTAAGAATAATTATTAAATATGGACTAATAAGAATAATTCGAAGAGAACAAGCTTTTATCGTATTTAGAGATTAGAGAAGAAAATGAGTAATTTATAAAATTTATAATGTCAACATATAATATAAAATTTATACTTTGATCCTCTGAATGTTAATTTAGCTTCTCAACATTGTTTTATCAAATTATTATTTTTTTTACAATCACTCCATTCATGTGATCTATATTATATTTTCATAATATATTTAAATTACACCTAATTTTTATGGATGAAAAAAGAAGGACACAGAGAAATAAAGTGAGCCACAAGTTTTTCGTAATATATTTAAATTACACCTAATTATGTTAAATTTACATTATAATTAAACATACTATCTTCGTCCCAAAAAGATTTAAACATTTTGACTAAAGTTGAAATTAAGGGAGTGATAATTTTGTGTTGACTTTCCAAAAATACCCTTGATGTGATGGGTAAAAGTAGGATGTGATGTGTAGATTATTAGGAAAAAGGTATGATGTGATAGGTAGGTTTTGAAAAAGTAAGGGTTAAAAGTGGTTTTTTAATAGAAATGGGTAGGAGATTGTGGGACGCAATTTTTTTGAAAGGTGTAAATCTTTTTGAGACAGAGAGAGTACTTTTTTAATACAGTAATTTTTTATTATCAAAGAATATCATAATTTGATTAAAAAAATCAAAATGCAAATGACTTTTTGAAATCACTGACAATTGCAATAGAACCTTTTTAGGCCCGCAGCTTGAGCCCTAGTCAACTAACCCCGGCCTCTTCCATTCTCCGTTTTACAGACCAGATAGTTATTCTTCTCTTCGTTTCCCAGACAGAGAACGGATAGAGGAGGATTTCAGAGGGACGGAGAACAGAGAGCGGGCAGATTCCTGGAGCCGAGGATATTCTCCTGAATCACCACAAAGCTTCATCAAAGAACGCTCAGATTCGGAAGCAGCATCTAGGGTATAAACTCTTACGATCTAAGCTAGCATTGGAATTAGATTTCAATTGTTGAATTTCTCTTGTTTTGGTCTGAATTGGAGTGTTGTTCTTGCTTGAATCTGATATTGTTGCTTCGAAAATGATGTTAATTGGTCATGATAGTGACTATGAATTAATGTAGATGATTTTGGTGTTTTGTTCCCAAGTCTGAGAATTCGTACTGGAGTTCGAATTTGCTAGTTTATTTATGAAAATCTTATGCTGCTACTTCCTGAATACCATATATTACTGCATGGTGAGTGAGTACTTTCCTTAGCGTTGAGCTTCTTGTCGAGTATGGGTTTCTGAATTTGATTGAGATAACATCTATTTTTCGAGAAGGATTTTCTATAAATGCAACTGTTTATGTTCTTATAAAATGGTATCATCTTGCCAGTGTAAAACCTTTATGATTGGCAAAATTTAGTTTGAATATTAAGGGTTGTTTGTCTAGTTTGGACGGTCATAGTGACAATGATAGTAGGTTTAAACTATATACCATAAGAAAACATAAATGTGGTGTTTATAGTTCATTGGTGTTTTATAAAGAAATTGCTAGGTGATGCCTATTTTATTTGCCTTGGCTCTGTTGGTCATTAGGGTTGGTTTTGGTGGTCAATAAGGGTCAAGAGGGGTATCTAGTTGTTGGGCATACGATAGACTATTATTTGAAAGGTAGGGAATACTCTAAATTATTGGTAGTTTATCCTTCTACAGCCTGGCCAGTTTTATTTTATGAAATCCTCAAAATATGATTTCCAAATCAGCACCCATCTACAATAAGAAAGCCAACCTTATTTTCACCAATCAATTTTAATTCACCTATCTCTCTCTGCTCTGCACTGTTCTCAAAGTTGTCTTTCTAGTCTCCGTTTGTCTTGCTTTCACTATTTTACTATTTTTATCTGTTTACATTCTTAATCAAACCACTCTCCCCAAACTGTTTGAGTCTTTTTAGTTGATTTAGTGTTTAGTTTGGATTGTTAGTTGCTTTGTGTCTTTTATACTTAAAGAAGAATAAACTCCCCCAGTGATCCAACCCTCACTTGCCATTACTATACTTATCTCAGTAATATGGTGATTTAGATGGTTTTATTTTCATACCATCTGACAAATGGCTAACATATTTATGTAGGATATTTGATTACTCTCCTAACCATGTATGAATTTGTGTATGTATGTTCTAATTCATCATTCATCATATTATTGTTTCATACAGAATTGTTTTAGAATTAAATATCTGATCTGGTGTGTAGGAGGAAAAAATACATCTAAAGAAGAAATATAGGAAAATATGCTTCAGATTAAACTCAGAAAGCCATCCAATGAGATTGGGGGTGCTGTGAAGCCCTTACCTTCTGATAGCATTACTGTTGCATGCCCTGATCACCTAGTCTTAGCGGATCTTCCAGTTGCGAAGAGTCTTGGTTTGACCAGTGGCACAACCAGCTTAAAAGTTGTTGGTCACAAATCCCGTCGTCAGCTTGGAGAGCGAGTGCATTTCTGTGTTCGTTGTGATTTTCCCATCGCTATCTATGGGCGTCTGGTGCGTGAAATAAAAGCACACTTGTGTTTCTTTCTGATATATGATTGTGTTTTGATCAATATATTTGTCTACTAGTCATTATGTGCCACTTCCCCTCTGTCTCGACTGTGATAAGGTTGTGATTTTCTTACAATGGTTATTATATGCAGAGCCCATGTGATCATGCATTCTGTCTAGATTGTGCACGGAGTGACTCCCTCTGCTACCTGTACGCTCAATTTCCATTTTTTTTCATCTGAAAGACAATTATGTTTCCTTTTGACTTGCATTTAATTTTGCGATAACTAGTAGCAAGTAAGATTTACCCATTTGAAACTGAAAAATGCTATGTTTTAATGAAGAATTACTGTACGGATGCTATTTCTTTGAGTGTGTAATCCAGTGCTTGATCATTCTATCAACTCCTTTGAATTATTGACAGAAAATACATGGAGACTAAACCTGCTTTTTGCTTCAATTTATATTTTTTACACAGCTGCGACGAACGGATTCAGAAGATTCAAACGATTAAATTGATGGAGGGGATTTTCATCTGTGCAGCTCCGCACTGTATTAAGTCATTCCTGAAGAAGAATGAATTTGAGGCTCATATTCATGCCAACCATGCTGACCTTCTTCACCTGGGTGCAGCAAAAAATCTAAATGTGTTGGATGCTGCCAATACTAGAAAAACTGCAGCCTCAGAATCCACTGTTCAAGCACCTCTTAGGTCCACCTTCTCTCCTAGTACAGGGTCCCAGGCTTATGATCGTGAAGACAAAACTCAACATATGTCAACAAAGCTAACATCAACACCCATCGGGAATATTCAGAAACATCAAACAGAGCAGAGTGCTGATAATAATCCTCCACCTGGTTTTGAGAGGTCTGGTCCTCAGAATCAATTTTCTCAGCAGACTCTTGAGTCACAGGGTGGGTTGAGACAAGAACCGGGTCAGTTTCAAGAGAAGCAACAAGGCGCTGTTGGGGGCTCTTCCTTTCCTGAGTACTCTGTTAATGTTCCTCAACGTCATAGTTTTATGCCTCCCCCTCAATTTGGTTATCCTCATTTTTTACCTGAACCATTTTATGGATCTCCATATGATATGAGAAGGCCAGACTCGGCGGCAGATGCTGGTTCTGAGCAAGGAGCATTACCGAGTTTTCCATCAGGACATGCAGGGGCTGTGAATTTTGCTGGAGTTTACCCTCGATCATGGAATATGATGCAGGCTGTTGGGCCGTTTGATGTTCCTGCAGTTCATGGATTCTTGGATGGTTTCATGAATGTGCATGATTCTACTCCTCAGCAACGACGAAGTGCATTCTTTCAAGGAAGTTCTGCAGCTTTGCCCCTAAATATGGCACATGCCTCCTCTTCAGCTAACACAGGGTTAGAAACTGGACAAGGTGATTATTCCATGGATTCCAGGGATAGGAAGACTAATTTGTCTCAACCTACACTTCTCCCACCACCACCTCCTCCTCTGCCTCCCCATATGCACCAGCTTCAAAGAGGTAGATCTTATTCTGGGGATGCCAAGTCATGATTCCAGAGCTGACTTTGGTTGGCAACAAAGGACAATGTGATACGTTGTTTTGTCTCCGTTTTCCTTGTTTATCATGATGTAATGAAAATTAGTAAACATTAGTCAATAAATTCTTTTGCAGAGTTTCATCTTGTTCATCCTTGAGAGGATGGATTTTTGGGCTACTTTTTCTTTTAGGTCTGGAGTCTGATTTCTCATAATTGAGCCTTATTGTGTGGTTAAATGATTGAGAGTGCCTGAATTAGGAAAATGAGTTTTCGTTATAAGTATCTTAAACCACATTCATGCATGCATTATTTGTTGGGGGTGTAAATTTATGCATCTTTAGACATTTTAGTGCCAAAATTCTTATCTGAATTATTTTGAATATTTTTGGAATCCTTGCTTTTAAAGAAGTGCAATGGGTTGGTTTTTGTTAAGTAGAAAACCTCAAATGTACTAACCCTACCTGTATATACCCCCGGCCTCTTATCTGATTCTACTCACTCTCATTTTCTTAAGCAGATGCAACAGACAGAAGGCTCTAGGAGAGGGGAACGAAGCAGACAGAGGATGGAAGCTTGTCCTCTTTGTTGAGTACGAAGCGGAAGCAAAGCTCTCCTTGTGAGGCGCGACCAACAATGAGCCGGGGAGAGGACTGAACCGTGAGATCACAAGCTGTACAAAGAAGCGCGTCTCAGATTATTCAACACTAAGATGATGAGTAGAGGCACTAAACAAAAAGATCTACAGGGGTATTATTCTCATTCTCTAGGTTTACAAACTAGGATTGTAGATTACAACTCTGATTTCGTAGTTTTGTTTGTTGAATATCTGAATTTAGCGTGTTTTGCTCAAGAAATGGCTTTGTGTTGCGCTTAAGCCTGAGTTGTTTTCTTTGTTGAGTCTCTGACTTTGTAGTGTGTTTGTTGAATCTGAAATTTGGTCTGTTTTAAGGTGGAGTTTGTTCCGCTTTTATTTATTTACTTTGAGCTAATTTGTGTATATATATCAAACTCAACATTGTTGTAGTGTGACTCTGCTCGAAGTGATTGAACTCGAATTTGTACTCAGACTTTTGATTCTCAGTTCGGAATTTGGCTAAGACTTTTGGGAAGTTTTTCTAATTTGCTAGATTCTAGGGTGGGGTACACGAAGGAACACATAGCTCAACCCGCAAAGAACAAGGGTGCTCTAAGTGTCTGCCATGTTGGCGGTCTTCGAGTTGTGCGGGGTGGTGATTTCGAATTTTGGCTCTGTTTTGGATTTGGCTCCCTTGGGGTCGAGATTAGTTTGGCAAGGCTTTGGACCCTGATTAGTTCCCGTGATGTAAAATTAGGGGGTAAATTTTTTCATTTTACTAACAGAGCACCGTATAATAGGTGCTCGTTGAAGTAGACGAAGAGAACCAAAACAAAGAACACTCAAACGATACAATATCCCATGAGGTTGGTAGAGAAGAGATCACTCTTAGTTTGTGTGAGAGGTGTGGATAGCTTGAAGTCGTAAAGATGTGAATAGCCTATAAATCTTGGGTAATAAAAGTTGAAGATTGCCTTAAAACCTTTAGTTGTAACGAATCGAGATTGTCATAAAATTTCATTCGGTGGTTGCCAAAACTCGTTTAGACCTTCTCGGTTGTGCCAAACACTCTAGTGGAAGTTGAAATCCTTAAGAATGAGCCTCTGGATGTAGGGTTATCCCGAACCAGTACAAAACTCTTGTTTGGTTTGTTTTTCTTGGTCTCTTTTTCCACAACATTTTAATTTTTGATCCTTAAATGCAAAAAGTTTTGGATGAGGAATATAATCAAAAATAGATTATTAGACTATAATTAGATTACCCTTGAGCTGCTAGACTTACATTTCCCATTTCTGTTCATCGGATAATTTAGCTCTCGATTTTGCTTCTTCTCCTGATTATTGGATTCCACTTCTTTATTGTCACTGAGATTTTTTATGAAACCAAACATATTCCAGACCTTCTGTCATGTGGTGGCCTTCTTTGTTGTGCAATGTATACCGTACAACCGGATGTACGGTGTTTCCCGTACATCCGCAGTGAGTATTTATTTACGTGTGACTGAATACTCATTTTTGAGTACTTGAAAACTTATTTTTATAAAATTAAGTTATGCTCGAAAATGAGTATTCTATTACTCAAAAATGAGTATTCATGCGGATGTACAGGAAACATCGTACATCCAGACGTAATGATAGATGTACTCTCTTTGTTGAGCCGTTAAGGCATTCATTTTTGTATGATCCAACCGCAACAACGAGAGTCTTGAAGGATCAAAAGGCAGTGTCTTTGATAGACTTAGAGCATGTTCTCTTCAAATTATTCTAATTACTTATTCGAATCAATTACAAAGTGGGAAAAGTGATGCTGGATAAACACAATGGGGAAAAATATATTTTGTTAATAGGTGCACTTCATAGCATAAGGCACCTTCTATTAAAAGTATCAGAACCACTCCTCTTCCATTGCCTAATCTTGGCCACAGTTTTGTAACTTTTATCTACCAGTATTTGAGTGTTACTTGTAGTATGTGGGTGTCTCTCTGTGTTAGTTTCTATTGGCTTCTTACTAATAAGAATTTTTTAACTTAAGAGTCATTTACTGAAGTATTTTTGTAAATTGACTTAAACGAGAGATGGCTAATTTGGAATATTCATAAAAGGGTAGGGATAGGTATATAAATGATTTGGTCAAAACAGAGAAAAAAACGGACTCAAAAATAACTAAGTAAGATCTGCTTTTTTTTTTTACTTATAAGCAACGTATTAGTCAACTTATAAGCACAAAGAAAAACATCATCAAATGACTTATAAGTTAAAAACAACTTATAAGTTGTTTTGAGCAACTTATAAGCAAAGAGAAACACCAACTAAGTCTGGAACTCCCAAATACTTAATAGGTAGACTACCCTCAACAAAAACCAGTAATGGTTAGAAGCTGATTTCTTCTATCTTAAGTAGCACCTGCGAAATTGTTGTTGCTATTGTTATTATTGTTGTTATTTGATAAAATAACATCAATAAAACAAAAAATTATACACAGAATTGATGATACATTCAGCTATAAAAAACTTAGGCTAAATAAACTAAATGGAAGACGAGAACCAATTTTAATTCGAACTTCGAACTGCTATTCTGATTCCAAGCTTACAGTCGCAATCCCCCACTTCTTCAGCAAATGATGGAATATAAGAATGAATAACAACAACATTACCCCAGTGCCTCAACAGCTCCCGCCCATTGCGGGGTAAGGGGGGGTCGGATCCCTATGTTTAAAACATAGAGCGGTTGTTTCCAGATGACCCATGATGAGCGTCGAAAGTTGCATTGACCAACTGCTACTTCACAATTGCAAGAACCGCAGACAGTTTAGAGAGCCAATTTGCTTTATTCCATCATATCCCAAAGCCAAAAAAATTTTGAGACTTTCACGGTCTAGGATAGTAAATCCATACCTTAGGAAAACACATCACTTTGACTCCTCAGAGTGTACATTAAGGGAGCACAGATGATCTTTCGTGATCCTTTTGTTTACATTGGAGAGAAGGGAATACTTGTTGCCATCATAACATGCAGTCATGAAGGCTGTGAGAGTAATTCTATTCACAGTTTGGCATTTATCTAGCATTTTGTGGAAAAACAATGCGGCCATGTCAGCTTTCTTTTCACTGCACAACTTTCGGATCAGTGTATCAACCGTACGAGTCCATAATCTCTTGTCTAGTCCATCTAAGAGGACCATTGCAGTGGAAGGGTCATCCTTCTTGCAAAACTCATACGCTATTGTTAACCGTGTGACTTCACATGGAGTGATTCCTTTATCCATCATTGAATGATACTGGTTTCTGGCCTCATCTAGCATTGACTCCTTGCATAGACCACTAATCAGAGCACCATAAGCAAGACTGTCAGGTGCGCAACCATATTCTCCCATCCTATGGAAGAACTTCATAGCCGAAGTGATATTTTTATCTCTGCAGTATCCAGATATCATTGATGTGAGAGTTTCCTTGGTAGGAACCAAATCTAATCTAATTGCATCGTCAAAAAGCTTTTCGCTTTCTTTCATCCTCTTTTGCTTGCATTGGGCTGTAATTAGTGTGGTGTATGTATGCATGTCGGGTCTGACACCAAGCTTGACCATCTGACACCACAGTGCAAAAGCTAGCTCACTGTCATTGCGCCTGCAACAGTCTGATATGAGAATAGTATAGGTCACTAAATCTGCAGAGAGTCCAGCTCTCACTCCTTCATCCAGCAATTCATATGCTTCTCGAACCTCTCCCTTTTTAAAGAGTCCATCAATGACTGAATTGTATGTAGCCATACCGAGTGAGAGTCTGTTGTTCTTGATGACTTCCATCAACTCATAAGCACGTGTGAAGTTTCCTGCTTTGCAATACCCATCAATGAGAGAAGTATAAGTTTGAGCATTTGGGGCCAATCCTTGTTCCTGCATCCTACTCAGAAGCATCTCGGCGCGACTCAGTTTTTCCTCTTTGCAGTATCCTGTGATCATTACTGTATACGTATGCACGTTTGGCTTGTAAGTGTCACTCCTCACAAGTTTCAGGAAAAGCCTGAATGCCTTTTCAGTCCACCCCTTGGTACAGAGACCATGGATCAATGCTGTATGTGTAAACACGTTCGGCTTCCAGCCTTTCGCGACCATTTCCTCTAGCAACTCGAATGCTTGCTTAACACTGCCCCTCCTAGACAGACCATCTATCAAACAAGTAAAGTTTATCAAGTTTGGAGAAAAACCCAGTTCAGTTAACCTATTGAAGATCCAAAATGCCCTATTCACAAATCCCTTCTGACAAAGCACACTCACAATTAATGTACAGGTCGCGTTGTCCACGATAAAACCCTTTTCCAGCATTGCGCTCATCCATCTATCCGCATCCACAGCTCTCCCTAACCTACAGTAAGCAACAACCATCGACTTAAAACACATAGCATCTGGACAAAGACCTCTTTCACACATTTCCTCAAACACCTTCTCGGCGATCTCTATACGCCCCACTCTCCCGGAAACAATAACAATACAGTTCAAAGTCCTCGCAGTAAAAACCAATCCTTGGTTACACATCTCAAAAACCATATCTACAGCCTCCTTCAACATCCCAATCTCGCCAAAATTCTTGACCATGCAGTGTATGACTTCGTGGGCCCTCTCAAAATTCTCATTCCTCATCAAGCACATTGATGAAACTATGTAAAGCCGCATAAAGTTCCTGAATTTCGGGCACTCGATTGCGCGATGAAAGAAACCCAACGCGGCCATTGAGCCCGCCTCATCGGCCAGAGAAGCCACGACGGTGATGCACTGTTCTGGAGTCAATGTCTCGATATCGACGGGCAGTATCAATTTGGGAGAGTGGGTGTTTTCTCGATTGTTATAAGAATCGCAAACCAGAGAGCAGACTCTTTGGACGAGAGAGGTGCACTGGGAGGGAGAGGAAGGAGAAGTGGGGTTTGGGTAAGGATCGTTTTGGGAGTGAAAAGATGTGAGCTTGCGGTGGGTGAGGAAGATGCCATGAATGAGTGCGGTGGTTGAGACTCTGAGCTGGGGCTGGAGAGGTTGAAGACGATGATACAGTGCAATAAAGAACATGAAAATGATTCCGAGTGATGTGAATGGGTGAATGAGCTCGTGAACCGGTAAGTTTATTACTCTATATATACTCCCTACCCCCTAAATATTTATCACATTTCAAAAAAAACAAGACAAAATATCAAATTTTTTTAATTCACTTTATTTAAATATTAGTATAGAAATAAAAAATAAAATTTACATATTTAAAAACTACATGAAGATTTTTTGAAATAAGAAGTGTCAAAAATATTTTATTTTATCAAATAGTCAATAAAAACGTACAAATAAAGAAAGCAAACATTTTGGGACGGAGGGGTATTTTAAAAATGTAATTGTGTCGGAAATAAAGAGTATTGTATGTTATGATTTGGCTGTGGGAGTATTGTCTTAAATATTGACTTAGAACCTACCTAGTCACTCTGCAGTTTTCCCAAATCATATTCCCTCCACCCCAATAATTTTGGGACTATGCAGTGACACGGAAATTAACTAAAGTAAGATTGTATGGTTCCTATTGATGTTAACAAAGTGAGACGAAATGAGAATGCGTGAACCACACAGATATGATAAAATATGGTATGACACATAAAACATCAACATCATACACAATCTGAATTTTAAAATGGATGGCCAGTTGTTGAGTGAATGGGTACTGTTGTTTTGATAATTTCAAACACAATGCTTTTTTTAAACAAATGAAATTGTAGACTCGACGATTTAGATTCAAGCTCAACGAGAGAGCCCGCCCGAATCACGAAGCAGAGGATTCGAGGTGGTCAAAGAGCTCGAGAAGATGGGTATTAGTGAGCTTGGCCCTTTTGCTGATCTCTTGCTTCTTTTTCTTGGTTTTGGGTTCTGAGGAAATGCCATAGACTTGGGCCATTGCCCTCCTCTTTGCGGTATTAGTAGCGGGCTTCATCCCGTTCTTCTGGAGATCTTTTTCAATGTCAAGCATGTCGCGCGGCAGCTCAACTTCTCTGAAGAGCTGTTTCAGATCGTCATCTACTTTGATCCGCACGTCGGCTTTGTTGGGGTACGCAATGTCCTCTTGAGAGTAGTCGAAGTTTGATAGCAGCCAAACGTGCCCTTCTGCCTTCAAAGACTACAGAGAGACAAATATACAAGGGGATGAAAGTCCAGCATTCTAGTACAGTATAACCTAAGAGATACAAAGAAAAAAGGAGTTACCCATAACATCTGGATCTGAAAATCCACAACCTATATCATTTTCTTTATACTATATATACATTCCTAATCGAATTCTGATACGAAAAAAACTCCCTATACATATGCATCGACATTGCCTTAATCCCAACTGTGTTGTATGGGTAATAGACACGAATTTAGTCTTTGTTTGGTTCAAGTAGAGAAGAGATTAGATTCTGATCCATTCAGAAATCAAGTTATGAATGTCAATACTTCATGTGCCTTACAAGATAATGAGAATTAAAGTAAAACACAATTACAACACACACCTGCAGGTCCTCCATCACAGTTGGGTATGCATCCTTGAGATCAATGATAGCAATGCCCTCAACAAATTTTCGTATCAAACGATATAACTGGTCTTTATTCTTAACATCATGCTTGGACTGTAGATAAGAAAGACTTCGGTTACAATTGGAAAATTCACATGTCGATCTTGAAATTTGGAAGCTAAAAGGGTAGAATTACCTTATAAGAGAATTGTTTGCCGTCGTAATGGACCTTAGGATTGTTTCTCAAACTGTCAAATACAGCCTTGTTGGCATTCATATCAACATGGCATTGTTCATTTATTTGTGCTACTGTATAAGCTTTCCTAGTCTGTCGACATGAAAGATAAAACCAATTAGATTATCTGTCTCGGAAGAGGAGATATGCATGTCTTAATTGAAGTGTGGACTGTGGAGCACATAAATTAGTACTATAATCGCTTTTGAATGTCTAATCTATTAGCATTCTCAATATGATCCATACCCAGAAATGGACAGGTTTCTGCCTTCCTTGGCCCCCCACAAAGAGCATAACATTCCGACTATAATAATGTCAAAAACATCAAACGTTTTCTTAAAGAAACTTATGAGAATGTCAAAATTTTGGCTTGGTTAAATGATGGGTTATATCAATTCCTAATCACAATTCAAAAAACAATAAAAAAATTCAGGTTCTTTAGTGCACTTAGTATCCATTCATTGACCACACCTGAGTCACCTGACAACACCTATTCTATCAAAGAGGTATTACTACAACAACTAATTTATAGATATCCATAAGTACACAAACACACACACACACACACACCTTCCTCTACGTGCTTCATGCCAACGGGGAATGAAAAGAGCGGAATAAAATTACTTTGTAGATCAGCAGAGTAAAAAATGACAAGTGCACCAGAAGGTTAGCAGCAGACACCATATGTCAATGTAATAAGGCAACCAGAAATGTCTAAAATAATAAAATTAGTAAAGACACTTGAAAGTTGAAACATCAGAAGAAAGGAGGAGACGTACGTCCAGTAGCAAGTCTATCACACGTTTCATCTGAGCTCCAACCGGAGCTTTCCTTATGCTGTTTATATGCTGAAGTCTTTCTGTGTCATTAGAAAATTTAACTACGGTCGCAGAAGGCATTGCATTTGCAGTTGATGACGCTGACATCTTGGGAGGAGTTGCCCGTGAGGATCCAGCTTTATTGGCTTCTGCTATACTGGTAAAGGTTGACTGGCACTTCTCCTGCTGCTTGTTAAACCTATTCAGACTTTCTTGCAAGGACGCCATTGGAAGCACACAATGTCCAAAATTGTGCCTAATAAGTAAGAAGTATCATTGCAGTCAGTCAAGGTTCTCATAACTAGTCGTGCCTCTAACTATTGTGAGCCATTAGTGCCTGCCTTAGCATAAATGAGGAGTCCTACGCAGCTATAAACTACCTCAGTCCCATAAAAAAATTTGATAGTTTAACTAATTTTATCATTATTTTAGTTACTGGTCCTATATTGGCAAATTTCTTGAAAAGTATCTTCATTTGATTAAATACAGCTTTTGGAGGCAGAAATACTCAAGGAGCACGACTATTTTTATGTGACGAAGAGATATAATAGCATTAAATTATCATGCTTGTGAAAATGTGCTTTTCACATGTCATCTATAGACAATAACAACAACAACCCAATAGAGTCCCGCATCAGCACGGTCTGGGGAGGGTATGTGTACACAGACCTAACCCCCACTAAAAGTAGAGAGGCTGTTTCTAAAAGACCCCCAGCTCAAGCAACACAAAGAATAACTAGTACAACAAAAGCACATTCTACAAAAGCACAAGGGGCAAATAAAATGTACGAAAAGCGTGCTATGATAAAACGCACATAAATAGGTGTAAAAAGAAAGACATCAAGCCTACAAAGCACACAACGCAAAGAATAAAACTACCACCCTGGGCAAAACGACTAACCAATAACCCTTATTATATCCTCTGTGAGGGCCAGAAGTCCTAAGTCCCGCCTAATAACGTCCTTCCAAATCTTCCTAGGTCTACCCCTTTCCCTGTTTGATTTAAAAACTTTTTATGTATTTTTATGTGATAAAGTGAAGTATTTTTGTCGTTCCCGCAGAGATAGCTATAAGGTAATCAAGTACTTAGTAAATCAAGTACTAATAGAACTACTAATAGTGGATTAAAATACAAAAAATGGATTAAGAGAAGATCACAAGAACAAAAGAAATGACAAGAGATTGAAATTAATTAAGAAAGTGATTTGGGTGTTTGATGATATGCCTAAAAAGAAAGGGGAATTATTTGGGGAATTAAATCGAGTAGTGAGTCTAACAACGATTGTTTTTCCATTTCCATGGTAAAAAGATTACATCAAAGTTGGTCCCCAATTCCTTAGTGGTCCAACCGAGACAATACCCAAGCAAGGCGAGACTCCTCAAATTCTATAACCACTTCCATGGGGGAATTCGAGAGTGAAAAACTATGGCTAAAACTCTAAACCACAATTTGTTTGGTGCACACAATTAAATAGACAAAATAAACCAATTCACAAACTACTAAGAGTCATCACAAATTATCCCTATGAAGAATCCAAGCATAATAATCATCAAACACTTAACTAATCCAACGCCCATGTTTAGCCACTCATGACGTAAAGAAACATAACTAAAAAGCAAGACCACGTATATATATTACTTTGTAAGAGGAAATAATCTACCAATGAACACAAAAGTAGCGTGAATAAGCTAATGGTATGTTTGGGAACATGGATTTGGATTTCAAATCCGGATTTGGCTCAAATTTTATGTTTGGGAAACATAAACATTTTGAATTTGGATTTGAGTCAAATTCTTTTCATTCATAACAAAGCTTAATTTGAAATCCATGAACCTCCCCTTGTCATTTGAAATTCAGGATTTCAAATTTTGGAATTGAAATGCATGAAATGATAGTTGTCAAACACTACCTAAAGAAAATAGTGAAAAGCTTGGATGAGATTACAAAAAGAGGAAGAAACTGGAACCGAAATCAGAGAAAGGGTCTCCCAGTGATCGCCTGTCCGATCGAAGAAGCTCGGTCGTCGTCGCGTCTCCCGCAGTTCCGATAGGAAATCTCCCAGCCAATCCGTCCCTGTCTCAAGGCCAATCCCATCGAAGAAGAAAGACAGTCGTCAAAGTTGCTCTGTCCGATTGAAGAGCGAAAGCCCAGAAGTCGTTCCTTCTTCCTCAGCCGATCGAAGAGGCCCAGCTTTTCGTTTCCGTCTCTGGTGAATCTTTTGCATGAGAATTTGGCTAGAAAGACAATGTGAGCCATCGCATTTTTTTTTGTTTACATCAGAAAATGAGCGACTCCCACTTCTCATCTCATGCCGTGAGAAAAAGTAAATTTTGGGACGTTTTTTTTGCTACAGGACGTGGAAGAGTTTTAGAAATTAGAGTTGCATTTTGGATAAAATTTTAATGGTACAGATTACTTTAAAAACGCTAACGCTAAACGCTGACTGTAGATAGCCTTTTCAAAACGCTAACGTTAATCTCTAACCAGTGACAGATCCAGAAAAAAATATGACTGGGGCAAATACACACTATAGAGTATGGTGGGGTTTAGGGGTGGCACTCGTAATTTTTTAAAGCGTTTGATAATGATAAAAAATGAA